ATTATTCTATAAGAATATTACAGTCAGGTGATGGTTAGAAGACATACATGTTCGATACATGTCGAAATCGTTGGCGCGACGACGCGACGCGAATCATCTTCTCTCGCGGGTTTTTTTCGATTTCGGTAGAAAAATTCGGTTCGCGCGAAGGTAAACGTCGAAGCTCATAAATCACGGGGATCTCTCTTTCTCTCTCTCTCTCTCTCTCTCCCCTTCTCTGATGCGCGTCATTGATTCGTCGATGTCGATCGGGTGACGACGATTTTTGACGGGAACAGGCGTGGACAATGAAGAAATTCGTCCGTTTTCGTTCACCGAAATATCGTGTCCATTAGCAGAACCAGGCTGAACAAAATCGCCCTTCTGTTGATGTTCCCGGTTCCACCGTGTTGCATAGCCGCAGGATGTTCACCTGAAAGAAAGAAAAACCGCCCGTGTTCATCGTACGTTGTCCGTACGAACCGTCCGCAGCTAGGAAGAAAGAGGGAAAAATTTTTATCGAATTTTAAATGAAATTTCTATAACGAAGCTTCCGATTTACGTTTGAGAAAATTACGCCTTCTTTTTTTTTTTTTTTTTTTGAACGTTCGAATCGAACTCGTAAACTTTCTCCCTCCATTTTTTTTTTCCTCTTTTCCTTCCAACTATATATATAATGAAGTTTGAATGCGATGAACCGATCGAAAAGATAAACTGGAATCAAATTTTTCGCGAAATATTTTTAAAATATTTCGAATCGTTCGAACAATTCGAGATCTCGAGGATTTGGCGGGAAAAGAAAGATTCTTTTTTTTCTGCCTCCTTTCCCTCTCCTCAACGAAAGAGCTCTTCCTTGAAAAGAGAGTCTATTATTTTTATTCTCACCGTTCAACACGTGTACCATCACATTCGCAGCGACCTTGCTCGACACGCACGTGTAATTACCACTGTCGTCATGTTGGGCGCGCGTTATTAGCAGCTTGCTAGTGGTCCCGTTCTTACCTTTCTCCGTTTCCAGGGAAACGCCACCCCTGTCAAAAGTAAAGACATTATTAAGGACGAATTCCGATAAAACCGATCGGATATCGGATCGACGCCTCTCTCTCTCTCTCTCTACTTTTATCCCTCCCCCTCCCCCTCTTTTCTTTTTTCTCGAAAGGGAAACGATTTGTGGTGGTCGATTCGTGATCTTACCTCTTTTTTCTTTTTCTTTCTTTTTTCTCTTAAATCGAATAGAAAATAATAATAATAATGATAATAATAATAATAATAATAATAATAATAATAATAATAATAATGATAATAATAATAATAATAAACAGAAAGATGGAAAAACACACCTTGGACCGTCGAAATCGATCATCGCACCGGCATGGTACCAAGTCACGTTGCTCGGAGAGATATCTTGCACGTCCACGATACATGTCAAACTAATCGTGCTTCCCTTTTTCACATACACTTCCTCGGGCCCCGTGATCTTTGCCTGCACATCTGGTGTCAGGCGATGATGAAAAGCGAAAAAAATAAGAGGTTTCAACTAACAGGTTTCAATATATACAGTCTATATCCGTCTGGGCATAGAAATTCACGACAAGATCTGACCGAAACTTCGAGATACATGAATAAAGAATCAATGAATAAAAGATGTTGCGAGTAGTGAAATTTATTCATAACTGTTTCGTCATTTTGGCCGGCAAATAAGATAAGCTGAAGAGAAACTAAAAAAAAAAAAAAAAAATAGCATGTACGAATTTGTTGGCGTAGAGAGAATGATTCAAGATATTTATTATAATAGATTGAATATTACAGAATAGGATAGTAAGTTCTACGTTTTTCTAACGAACGGACGAGGTGCCATTTTAAATAAAAGATTTTCCGCGGAGAATAATAACATCTGTTTCTAGAATAAGGGGAAGCGACAGAAACTCACCCAAAACTTTCAAAGTAATCGCCCTATATATCTTGGGCTCTGCATTAACTTGACACTCGTAAATGCCATCGTCCCGTGGTTGAACGTAATCTATTCGCAGATTCCAGTCGTCGTGCTCCGGATTGCCGACTATCTTAAATCTTGCGTCGCTCGTATAAGTCACCGACATGGACGTTAAGATGTGTAAGTCCCTTTTTCGAATCCAAGACACCTGGGACAAATTCCGAATGAGACATGGAAATATTTCGCCGCCCGCTAACTGCCCGTATCGAACTCGTTTCGCAACTATCTGTCCTGTGAAATATGCACGAGATAATTAACGATCGCCGTATTTCTCATTGTTGTATTTTTCTTTTTTTTTCTTTTTTTTTTTTTACGAATTCGATTTTACAAAATTTTAACAATCCCAGAATTAATCACTACTAATCTTTTTGAAACCTCTCTTCGTGTACAAATGAATTGGGCAAAGATTAATTCTACCGCGAAACCAAGATTGAAAAGAAAAACACTTGTATCGTAATGCGATATATATCGTTCGTTAACCAGAAAAGTAGGAAATTATATTAGAAATAATTTCACGAGAGCGAAAATTTTGCGTGTTTCGCGGCGGTAATACTGTCTTATCTTAATTAACGACAAAAACAAATTGAAGGTTTACGTAGAGAAACGAATGAGATACTGTTATTTCACATTTCGTTGTTCCATTTTTTTGATCTTCTCCGAGAGATCAAGAATTTCTCATCACGTTGCAATTTACGATTACTGGAATTTCTATGACAGAAAATTTTAAGCATGTTAATTTCATATCTCCTAAATTTCTAATATATAATCATACCTTGTAAATCATAGTTGTAAAACGTTATACTTTTTAACTATGACATTATCCATTTCGAATAACATGGGATCTTAATTCACCAATTCACAGTGATATACAAGTTCTTGAAATGATTCACTTCTTATTATTATACAGTGAATGTAAAATATATAATTATGAAAAATTATATAATTCCCATATACAATACGAATGGAAATATATCACGCACAATAATCGTAAGTGGCGCAACGTGACCTCATTGATATCCAACTGAACGTGTTGTAATAAAATAACGTTGTTTTATTCAAGTTCGTCTCGTTATTGTTTCGAAAGTTTGCACGTAATTGCGAAGCGTGCAAAGCGACACTACTATTCAAAGAAACGTGAAACTCACTGTTCTATTCCCCAGATTCTTAACACGACACAACAGCACAACAGTTTGTCCCACAACGGCGGTCACTTTTTGGGGCGAATCTTTATAAAAATACGTCTTCTTCGCACCTCGTTGTGACCGTTCGCCTTTATCGGTTTTTTCCCCATCGAATCGTTGCACCGCTAAAATTCAAGTATCACGCTTGAATCATAGCAAAAATTTTATTTAGTAGTCTCTACATCCAGTTTTTTTAAGCGAAACAACCCAAAGATTAAAGCGACGAAAAATATTTTCTATTTTTTTTTTTTTTTTTAATTTCAATTTTGCCGATAAAAAATATTTTATTTTCCGTTAAACAGTAACACCAACACATGGCACAAAATTTCAGTAAAAGGTACGTCGAAAAAATAAAAAATAAAATTTGCTAATTTGTTCGATCGAAAATCTATTATTAATCGTACTATTAATTCACGCTAATGAATTCAACGAAAATCAAAATTTTTCAAATTGTACTACACTTTGAGATTAATTGTACCTAAAGTCCGATGACCGGATGGCGGTTCTGCGTGTAACAGGTATCCGATTCCAAGCAATATAAGGGCCATGCCATGGAATGGTGCCATTTTTTTTACGTATGAAATTTTTTCATCTTCATTCGTTGCCCTTTTCGTTTCTTTCAAATTTTAACAAATCTTCAAAAATTATCGATGATCTCTCGATCATCTCTTGATCATTATAATTTTTCGTTCTCCACCTCTTAAACAATTTCTTCGAGATAGTCATGTAAATGATATTTTAATTTTTTACAAATAATATAAATGAAATTTTCACTCACATAAATTATAAATGTTTTAATTCCGTCGCGAGATAATAATTGTATTGTAATTTTATGCAATTTTATATGATTTCGTTCAATCTTTATCATTGAAGTAATAGAAATCTCGATCGACAAAAAAGAAAAAAATAAAAATCAAAAAATAAGATTGCACATATTCAATGAAGAAATAAATTTTATTTCAAAAAAACTTATTATCTTCATATAACAAATAGGATTTATTCATAGAAAAAGAAGTAATATTCAATATTCTTGTACTTATTTAAAAAATAATATAAAATGAAAAATATATAAAAAATTTATTAATTCAACTAATTTTTTACGATCATTGAAAACATAATGAAACACCTTCGAGAACAGCGCGCTTCGATAGCGTTTTCAATACTGAAAGCTATTCCTATTCGAGGGAAGGAAAAGGTTAAAATCAGGGTGCAGTGGCGCCTCGCGATATTTCTAATTTGCGATTGCGCCGACTCAATCTACTTTTATAATCTTTTTTACGATACATCTATTTGTTCTTAATCGCACTTTAATTATTTTTAAGATTTTGTATCTTTACTAAGATTAAAATCAAATATATTCAAAAATTTTTTATCATATTAATTTTCGAAAGTTTAAAGAAATAAAAAAAATATTTAATTAAAATTGTTCTAAATTAAAGATTAAAATATTAGATTAATAATTTTTTATATTTTAATAATTCAACAATTGTTTAACAAAATTATTATTCAATGAAATCAAAGAAATATTTCTTATTATATATATTAATTCAGTAATAAAATATAGTATAAATATCGTTATTTTTTATGCTTGCAGGTACATAAGTTACATAAGTATAACATATAATTTTTTTATAATACAAAACATGATAAAATTCATATACTTTAATAATTCTTTTACCAATAATAATTATGTAAAATTATATATAATTATATATAAATTATATATAATTCAATGGATATCGAGCAAAATAAATTGTATAATTATTTAAATCCTTATTGATTATATATAGATACAAAATTTATATATTATTATATTATATTATATTATTATAATATTATTATATTATATTATGCATATGTTATGTGTGTATAATAATACACTATTAAAATAAAATATTTATTTTCTAAAAAAATCACCTTTTGTACCACCAGTTTTTGAAATTAATTCGATATCGGTTATTTTTATATATTTTGGGGAAGTTGCATATTTACACATATCATAAATTGTTAGAGCCGCAATACTTACGGCTGTTAAAGCTTCCATTTCTACACCAGTTTTTCCAGTGCATCTAACTTCTGCCGTGATTTCTATGCGATGTAATTTTTCGTTTAAATGTAAGGATACATTTGCATAAGATAATGGAAGTGGATGACATAAAGGTATCAAATCAGAAGTACGTTTCGCTGCTATGATACCTGCCAATTGTGCCACAGATAATACATCGCCTTTTTTTATATTATTCTCAACTATCAATTTGCTTATATTTGAATTAACTTGTACAATTCCCTTTGCTATTGCGATGCGTTTAGTTTCATTTTTCGAATCTACATCTACCATGCTTGCTTTGCCACTTTGATCTACATGTGACAATGAGGAAAATACTCTTATACTCATATCATTTTTAAATCGAAGTCCCATGTAATCCATTATATATTGTCTCGTTATATCTTTATAACTTTTAAGATGAATACGTTTCTTTTTAACTGTAAGCACAAACAAATAAAATTAAGCTTATGATCTTTTTAAAATTGTATCATTGATTATAAACAATTCGAGCGATAACGTTTGTGCTTCTTTTTAAAGTATTAATACATTATTTTATATTAATATATAATTCTTATAATATTATATTAATTATTATACTATATTAATTAACCCCCAATCAAAATCATTGGCCTGTTTTCCATGCGGGATAGATTGAACATTCCTGAAACATACGTATTATCAAAAAAGATATAAACGTTATCGCCTGATAAAAAGCTTAATATTTTATTATACAAAGTAATTTCATATAATCCTATTTTAATTATATAAATTAAAAATAAAACTTAATACCCGCATGCTGCTTTTTTTTACGTTGCACCGCTTGTCCGATCATTTCTTTCAAAATATCATTAGATACTCCACTACGTAACGCATCTCGAAGAGATATTTCTCCCTTTCCTTCAAACAAACAAACTTTTAAATTTCCATCTGCTGTTATTCTTAATCTATTACACGAATTACAAAAATGATCACTCATTGATGTAATAAATCCAATTTGTCCTGTAAATCCAGGTATATGGTACGCCTAAAAAAAAATTAAATTTTTAATAAAATATATAAAAATTATAATATATAAATTAAATTGTTTAATAAAATTTTTTGAATTATATACTTTAGATGTATCATTGTACTTATTTGGAAGACGTTGAAGATTAGGATATATATCTCTAATAAATTTTTTCATAGTCTCGAAGGAAACCATTTTCTTTTGATTCCACTCATTTCCTTGAAAAGGCATATATTCAATAAAACGTATATCAATTGGACGATTTTTTGTTAAATTAACAAAATCAATTATCTCATCATCATTGAAATCTTTCATTATAACACAGTTCACCTACAATAAATATTACATATAATTATATTATTATACTAATGTAATCTACTAATCATATAAATTCATTTAATTATTTCACACCTTTACTGGATTATAACCTAATTGAATAGCTAAATCAATTGCAGCCATAACTCTAGACCATCCCTTTCTACGGGTAAATTGTTCAAAACGATTTTCTTGTAAAGTATCTAAAGAAATATTTATTGCATCTAATCCAGCTTTTTGAAGAAATGGTAACTGACGTGTTAATGTTAATCCATTAGTAGTAATTGCAACTTGTTTTAAATTAGATAATTGTTTCAAACCAGCTATAATAATTATATTCTTTATTGGTATAAGATCTCAACATATATATATCATATAACTATATTACATATAAAATAATTTACCAATAATATCCACAATATCTTTTCTGACAGTTGGTTCACCACCAGTTAAGCGTATTTTATTTATACCTTCATTTACAAATAAATCAGCTATTTTAATTATTTCATCTGTTCTTAAAATACCATCATTCTTTGTCAACTTAACTCCTTCTGCTGGCATACAATATAAGCCTATAACATATGTAACATATCACAAAATTATTTTATTAAAATTGTAAATGTTACTTACATCGAAGATTACAACGTTCGGTAATCGAAATACGTAAATATGTATGACGTCTTCCAAATGAATCTGTGAGTATATCATTGTTATGTGTATTATTTAAATGATCTCTAAATTGCTGTACCTAAATAAAATACATATAATTTTTGTAAATTTTCTGCAATAGATGTCACACAATAAATTGTATAGTTTTTATAAATATTATTTAAAAATAATTAATGTTTTCGATATACTTAGAAAAAGAAAAACTTACTCTACGTGAAACATATGGTGCAACAGATGATTCTGTAGATGAATACACAACACCGAAAAACGATTTCGTAATATTAATTTTTCGAAACATTTAACGTAATTAATAAAAACTAATATGATTTATGATTTCTATATTTAATAGAATAATTTTTATATAAAAAATAAAAAAATTATATAATTCAAGATTTCTCAAGATGGACGACGTATTTATGTTATCTCTTTCATCGTTTTGTTCAGACTGTACTTATATACGTTCTAAAATAGTTATCAGCCGAACATTAAAACCATTTTTCATCCTTGAATTTAACAAAACCTGTTTTTTACCGCGATAAGTAACATTAATCTTATAATACGATTCAAATTTTTTTTGCCGCGTATTTATTTCAACCAATCATCAAACGCTTTATATAAGCATTGTATAAATTTTCTGAAATATATATATATATATATATATATATATATATATATAGAAAGAGAGAGAGAGAGAGAGAGAGAGAGAGAGAGAGAGAGAGAAAGAGACACACACACAAATTTTACAGTATTATTGAATTATTTTAAAGCAGTTGATGTGTTTAACCTATTAAGAAATAAAATGTTATTTATTTAATTAAATCCATTAACAATATAAATTTTATAAAACATGTCTTTATTTCCAGCTTATTCTGAAGAAAATAAATCTACAATATCCAATGAATCAAACAATTTTTTAAAAGGTTATTGAAATGCATCATAAATCAATATCAATTATAAAATAGTTTATGATACAATATTTATTTCTAATTACAGAAAATGACTCAACCAGTTGGTTATACAATTCCAGTTGTTTAGAACAAATTTCATCTAATAATTTTGATGTTTCTTCAGATTCTTCAGATGAAACTTTTTATTTGCATAAAGAAGAAACTTTACATACTACTATTGTAAAAAAAGAAAAACTTACATTGGAGGAAAAAAAACCAACTATACATATTAAAAGAAAAAAAAAGGATAAAAAAAAGAATACACATGAAAAATCAGAATATGAGAAAGATGTAAAAAATGTATATTTTGAAGATAAGTATAAAGATAAGGGAAATTATACTATTAAAACACTTTATTCTCGAATTAGACCATATTATAATATTAAAAAGAGTACTCTTGGTTTTGTTTCTCACAAACAATTAAAAAAACATATTTATGAAAGATATTATGTAAAAAATATTGACTATATAGAAAAAAACAAGAAAAAAGATACCATTATTAAAAGAGAATCTATTACCAATTCATTTAAAGAAGAGGAAATCCCTTCATGGCACATCAAATTAGAAGAATTACAAAAAATGAAAACTAAACAATATAATGAAAAATTAACAAATAATCCAAATGATATTCAATTATGGTTTGAATATGTAGAATTTCAGGTATATCATATTTACATTTATAATAAGAAATATAATATATTTAATATAACTTTAAGAAAAATATGTAATATATATACATATACATTATATTTACATATCAAAATCTATATGAAAAAAAAAAACTAAAAACTAAAAAATTTAAAAATAAAAACATATTTTTTGGAATTTTCCAAAAAACATTAGATTTAAAAATAGTTTAAATATATTAATTGCTTTTTTTTAAATAAGAAATTTAACAATATATATAATTTAATTTATATAAAAATTTATTTAAATAATAATAATAATAATATTCCATAAAATATATGTTAAATAACTTTTATTAAAATTAGTTTTATTATTTGAAGAATATTAAAATTTAATTTATCAAAATCTTTTTTATAGAATATATTACAAATATTTTTTTTCTAGGATACATTAGGATATTTTCAACAATATCAAACAACAAAAGATATTCATAGAGCAATAACATTAAAAAAGTTAGCTATTGTTGAAAAAGCCCTAGAAAAAAATTTAGAATCCACAATTTTATTAAAATTAAAGTTATCTCTTATGGGAGAACTTTTACCTGCTGACGAATTTTCAAAACAACTTGAAACCTTTGTCAATAAAGATTCAGGAAATGTTACTTTATGGCAAGAATTTATTATGACTACTCAAGCTTCAGTAGCAATGTGTACAGTGCCAAAAGTTTTAGATTTATATTCCAAATGCTTTTGTATTTTAAAACAAAAAGCTAGGACAAATCCTCGAGTATATGATGAACGATTATTACGTATGTAAAAAATTATAAATTATTTCATTATTCTAATTATATAAAATAGATTATATAAAATAATAATTTCTAATTTGTTATGGATAGAAATGATGTATTGGTGTCTAACATTTTTACGACATACTGGACTTTGGGAACAAATGTGGGAAACAATGCGTTTAAATCTCATTCTAAATCTTAATTTAGATAAAGACAGTTTATCTTTCAAAAAAACAATAGATGAAAAAAAATTAAGTAAGATATCTTATCTAACTAATCCAAAATATATTATTTATATTCTATTTATTATCTTATTATTTTTATTAATTTATAGTTGGAATGGAAGAAGTAATATTAATGTCAAGATTACCATTAAATCAATTATGGCAAAGAACAGAGTCATTAAGAGAAAATTGTCATTGGATTAGCGTCAGTAAAAGTGAATTAGATCTAGTTGGCGATTCTCGAAGATTTATTTTACCAGATGATGTTGCAGATTTTGTTCATCCAATACTTTCAAGAAATTTAAATTTTCGAATGGCAATTCATACATTACTCTTACTTAAAGTACCATTATTACCAACACGAGATTATATGTTAAAGGTATATTTAATTAGATATACAATTCCGAATTTTTAATACAAATTCTAATAATTACATTATAAACTAAATAATATTTTTTTTTGAAATTTTATATATATTTAGACATTAACATTAGAGGAATTTGATTGGGGTGTAGAAACTTCAGAAATATTGCTTCCATTTGCTTGCCCTATGGTAGGTGAAATGAGCGGATATAGCCAAAGAAAAGAATTATTAAATGGCATACTTGAAGGACATTTAACGTCAGGTCCTCAATATCTTATGTTTCATCCTGCACAAGAATCATATTTAGATTTTATACGCGAAATATTTTTTACAATCGCTGAAAATTTACCTTCTTTGCAACGTACTAGTATATATGTTTGGTGGTTAAGATTTGAAAGATTACTTATCTTTCTTCAAAAAGATGATATATTAAAATATGATAATAAGTAAGATTCATTTCATATTATTTTATATATAAATAAAAAAAGTATATAAATATTTATATATAAGTATATGTATAAGTATATAAATATATAAATATAGTATATAAATATTCTATATATTTTTTACAGACGAAAAAAATTAAAAACAACATTGAAGGAATTCTTAAAAAAAGATGAAAATAGAAATAATTTACATTTCTATAGAGAATATGCATTAATAGAAAAAGAAATGGGAAAATTTGATAATTGTGTGAATATTTTAGAAATGGCCATTAAATCACAAGATACATGTCCTTCTTTAATTTGTATTCCTGAAGAGAAGTCAGCACTATTAAGTTTATATCGAACATTTATTGAAACTTTACTCAATTTAGAAACTTATAAGGAAACACATAAAATATTAATATTAAATTTAATGAAACAAATAATACCAGAAACAAATGAAAATCAATTATTACAAGTAGAAAAATATTTAGAAAATTGTATACGAACTTTTTTACAAGAAGATTCTTTTGAGAATGAAGAAAATACATATTTTTTACCAAATTATAAATGTGATACAATTGTATGCTATGCATATTTATTATACGTACGAGATCATGATATTAATAATATAATAAATATATTTAAAAAGTGCATAAATCATTACAAGAATCAACATTATATACAAGTATTAAACTTTACTTCTTTGTTAGTAATAAAATTAATAATAAAAATTTTTCTATGTATTTAATATATTGTACATTACAGGAAATATTGCAAGAAAGTCAAATAGCACTTTTACAATTACATTGTAAACAAATTCAAAATGAAAGTTTTTTAAAAATAAAATTAGATGATATGTTAAATTTATACCCAAATAATTTTTTTGCTCTTTCAGTATTTGCATGTATTGAAGTAAGTATAATAATATTTTTTATAATATTATTTATTAATCATAATCAATATCAAAAATCATAATATTTCTTCAACAGAGTGAATTGCCTATATGGAAAAGTAATAGTCGAATGACAAAACTTCAATTATGGAAAGCATTTGCTATATGCTTAGCAAATCGAAAACGTATTCATAAGTTACAAGAGCTTAAAGATTATATTAGTATGAATGCAGCAATTAATAAGTTACTCTATTTTCATCATACACTTGCAAAGTAGGTTCTTAAATAATTTATATAAATTCGCAATATAAAAAATTCGCAAAAAAAACATTTAAAAAAATAAAAATATTAAATTTACAGAATATCAACAATTAAAAATTGCCCTCTATTATGGAGATTATATATGCTTCTTCTTAGAGAATATAACTTATGTGAGAAAAAAGGAGAAGAAGTATATCACGAAAGTGTTGCATTATGTCCTTGGGCTAGAAGTATTTATATTGATGCAGCTGAAGTTGCACCTCAACTTCTGACACAAATTCAAGATATGATACGGGAAAAGGAATTAAGAATGCATGTTACCCCAGAAGAATTAGATGTTTTACGTGGTTAATTGTAATTGTAATTATATACTTTAATTATAATTATAATTAATTATAAATTATATACTTTTATAATTAATTTTAATATATAATTATTTGTTTAGTTAATAATTCATGTAAATATTTTTTTTATGTATATATGTAAATACATATATAAAAATCTTATAAAAAAATACAGATTGCCAAATTTATTAAAAATATAAATTATATAATTATCTCAATTTGTTATACTTTTCCTAAAATTGAAAGTATATATTGATAAATACATAGTATATACTGAAACAATATTAGATTGTGGTTATAATTCATAGATATCTAAAAGAGTAATAAATAAATATTGTTTTTATATTATATTTATTATTTTTATATAATGTAATAAAAATCTGATATAATAAAATAATAACTAACTGAATACAAATAATAATTAAATTTATATAAGCTATACTATAATTATGAGTAAAGACTTAGGTTAAATTAATCGTCGTGTAATGTAATGATTATATGAAAGTTATATTAATAATTTTATTTGTAATTGTAAATTTTTTTTATCTTGAAGTGTTTATTTTATAATTTTACAGCCTTTTTATTAATTATTTCAAATTTTCTTATTCATTATTAAAATATATATTGACATAAAAGTTAAAAAATCTTGCATGAATTATTGCAATTAAATTAAAAATTCTAAATTTATTTCTTCAATATGGATTTGAAAGCTGTTGTTGTTTCGGGTGAAGCACCAGAATCTGATGATGATAATGCAAGCATTGTTACTGTATGTTATTTTTATATTTTTTATAAAAATTATATTATGTACAAAGAAAGAAAATGAAATGAATAAATTATATTTTCTATAGGGTATAGGATTTCCATTTGTAAGAACTCCCAATTATTGTGGTACAATTATTTCTGGTGAAGCTCCAGAATCAGATGATGGTATGATTTTATATTTAAAAATATAAAAGATATTTAGAATATAAACAATAAATATATTTTATAATACTTTTTTTAAATCTAATGTAAAATTAAATCTAATATTTATTAGATGGGACAAGTTTAAGCAGTGTTAGTGGAGCAGTTGATGCTATGACTTGTATACCAGAAATGAAAATACCAAAATCAAAAAAATGTTCCATAAAATACAATAGTTTGCTTCATAAGAAATTACGTAAGTTTAAATATTAATGCTATTAATTTAAAAAACAGTTAAATAGATGTATTTTTGTCAACATCATTTTATTAATCCTTTTTTAATACAATATTGTTATTGCTAAAGTATTATATAATAATTTTGGCGCAGAAAAATTTATTATAACATAATCGGAATAATGTAAATACTTTTTCTAGACTCAAGCTTATTTTATTCCAGCTAAAACTTTAATTATTTAGAACATGTAGTATATATTTTAAATATTTTTATACATATAAATAATATACAATATCTAATTTAATTAATAAAAGATATTTAACATTTCAATTGACATATTTATAATAAAACAGATGAATGCAATGAAACTTTGGATAAGGATCTTATACAAATGGTTGATGGAACAATTGGTGCTGCCACTCAAGAATTAACAACTGTTAATAAACAATTGTTAAGAAGTGAACTTATTCTTCAAGAAGCTGTCTCTCAATTACGTAACGCTTGCAATCGAACAAGGGATGCTTCCAATGCACTGCTTCAACTTATAAATGAAAATTTTGTATCCTCTATTAAAACCTAATATGTATAAATATACTTTGTTTTGTAAGGTTATTATTCAAATATGTAATGAAAATATTGATATAATAATAATAATAACAATAACAACAACAACAACAACAACAACAACAATAATAATAATAATAATAATAATAATAATAATAATAATAATAATAATAATAATAATAATAATAATTATAATTATAATAGCAATACTACTTTAGTATATATTAAATATAGTATTAAAAAATCAGTATTTTTAAAGGACATGGTGGGTGGGATATTATTGAGCATCAATTGTTTTCTTTAATTGGCAGTTCTATTAAATATATCAACTGTTTTCTAATATGTCTTAAAATTTAAGTAAAATATTACTTTGTTCAATGTTTCACAAAGAAAGACCATTAGAAATTTTATATATATATACAGAACAAATTTGTAATTACTGACACATTTGGATGCTATTAATTATTAATATATCTATGCTGATCGTTGCATTTAAATATCCAAATGACAGTAAATGTAAATATTATTTTATAATATTCAGATGTTAAGGTATATATCAAAGAATGTCACGATGTTTTGTTTAAAGTATTTCTGTAAAGAATAAACATAAGCATTTTTGTTTTTTTCACGATTTAGAATAAATATAATTATGTAAATGTTAAATAATTAACATCTTTGAACATTAAAAATTTGATTTTCTTCTTGCAATAAGTAATATAAATAACATAAATATAATAACAAATTTTATTTTGATATATATTATTTTGCATATGCATAATCTTTTCAGAAACACTTGTATATTTTCTTTTTTTTTTTGCAGTTTTTCTTATCAAATGCATGACTTTGGTATCAAAGAGCTGATATTGATATTTCTTATTATCATGCTAAATTTAGTGTACAATGAATTGATGATTATAATGAGGATGCATTCTTTTTCTATAAATTCAGTCTTAAACATTTCATCAATCTTTGTTGAACTAAATCTTGATATAATATATCTACATACAAAAATTCATAAATCAAACGAGTCGTCCTTTTTGCTAAGTGATATGACAACATCGTGACGGAATGTGTTCTTTGACATGATATTTCTATATAACTTTTGTTTATGTAATACATTCAGATTATTTAATGGCTAAATTGCATATATTTAACTATGCATGTGTATTTAAGATCTCATTTTGCATTAAAGTAATTCCTCATGTCATATTCTACAAAATAAATAATGCTAGAAAAGTATATTTATACTATAAACTTATAAAAAATAACATCAAAAAACAATTACTATTAACGAAATATAAAACTATTCATTATTATAATATTAACTCATATTATAAATTTCAAGCATTGATTTCCCACTTTCTTGTTAATAAATTTAAATGTTCACATATTTAGCAATATTTGCAAATTTCAGAAATAAATTTTGACTATTCGTCAAAATTAGGAACTTATTAGTTCCTATATTCATTTTTTTTCATTGCTTTCAAATTTTTGCATAAGAATCTTAAGATTTTCATTAAGAATGCAAACATTCAATTGTTATGAGTAATACGATGATGATAGATAGCGTAATAAACTTTGTAAACGCTATAAATGTTAATGATGGGCTCAATTCCAGAAAAGGATTAAAGTTTGTTGTAATTGGCGACCTTTATAAAATATGCGACGTCGGACACGATACATATTAGCCAATGTGAGGGCGCCCACCCCCCACATGGCCTACGCTCGCTCTATTTCTCCACCACTTGCACACATCTGAAGAACATCCAAGGATCCTTGAGCTTGTCGTTTTTCAGCCAAGAATCTGCCAGAAGCCTCTTTTAATTGTTCTAAAAATATTCTAAAATAATTTAATTAAATGATGTTATATCATAAAATAGTTTAATAATATTATAATATCATATATTTTAACATTTTAAATTAATTTTTAAATCTTTCATATTATTTACTATATAGGATTATTTACTATATTGTTGACAACTTATAGTAAAAATAAAAAAAAAAATAATATAAATGATTATAAAGTTTTACAATAAATATTTTATAATGCAAAATAGATAGCAATAGATTTTTCATTCCAATATATAGAAAAGTTTATTTATCTTATTTATATAATCAATTTATTATTAAATAATGATTTAGTTATTAATATTCTTATTAATAGTTAATTAATAGTTATTGATAATAAATCTTCATTGATTAAATTATTATTTTGTATAAATGTCAAGTGTTTGTAAATAAAAAGTACTGATATTTTTGTGTAAGATTTATGTGGAAAAAATATTTAAATTATCACATTTTATTATTATACATATTATTATTATATAATAATATTTCTCATATTGCAATAGAGAATTCATTAATATCTATCTTTCATGTATAAAATATTTACTTATTTTATATATTTACTTATTATAACTTTGTTTTTAATAGAACATATATTGCAAAACTTTATATATATATATTTTTTTTCATTTTTTATAATTTGTTCCAAAAATCTTTGAAATATTTTATAAAAAATAAATCTTTTAATATAAAAATAGAATAAATAATAAAGAAATATAATGATATGTAATGATATGTAATAAATATTGTCAAATAAAACAGTAACAAAATTTTTATAGTTTTATATATATATATATATATATATACTTACATATTGCCAGATACTATATCAGCTACACTATCTGGATCCATATCACTGAGCAATTCTAAATTATGTCCATCAAGTAATGATATATGTGATGGATCTCCATGCAATGATGAGACTAATGCTTCTATTGGTGGTCGACGCCTTCTAATTTCATCTCTTCTTTGTCCACATTCTATATTGTCTACATCATCAACAACTATATAACGAGAAGCAGCTTTATTGCTTCCTGCTGCCACCCATTTCTGATTTCCATATAGAACCATTAAACTAGTATTTCTTTCTAATGTGGCAAAATATTCTTCATCATCTACCTCAGTTCCTAATATGAAAGTAATATTCATTTGTTAATTTATAAATAAAATCTATATTGCTAAAAACAAAAATATTATCTTACCATCTTGTTCTAGAACAATTGTTAATTCAGCATCTAAAGGTAAAGATAAACGATTTCTTGCAATACTAATTAATTCTTTTAAAGAAGAAGCAGTGATTCCCTTTCGTTTTTCTCTAGTATGATCAACAATTTTATAAGGATTTCCCAATCCTTGCGAAATTCCTGCTGTTTCTGACATATTTTTTTAAATAAAAAAATAATCTGAAAATTGCTCACAAAGAAATTTAATTTAATTTTGTATTTTTGTCGTTCGATCAAATGTCAATCAAATATATAAAATTTATGTCATCAAAAATTTACTTTCTTTAATAAGATTGACCGTTACTAAGGCCTGATTATCGTTGCACATTGGTTTATCAATATCATTGATATTTTTAAATTAAATCGTAACACAAGATTCACATTCACTCAATAATGGATATCACCAATGTCCATTAAATTTTTATTAGAAAAATGTTTGCAGAATACTTAAAATATTAAATACATGCTGATAATTTGGGTGTAAAATTGTAAAATTGGAAGATAAGTAAGAAAGGGCAGTGTTTTGGATTGCATTGGATTGTTGATTTTATAAGGACTTTTTATAAGGACTACGGTTATTAACAATTTACATACACATATAAAATTTGAAAGACGTAAAATGAATTTCGTTCGAGTGACTGAACTGACCGTATGTCAACTCAACACTGGGTCAATGGTGCAACTACCCCTCCTATTTATATTCTCTGTAGACTACTGCGTATGGTATGTCCAAAAGACACCCACCATAGTATTCCCTCCCAACATGGCACCTACACAGAAATCAATAACTTACCCACTCTAGTAATCATTTTTTTATTGTCGTTAAATGAATTGTTTACGTTAGAATGCAATATCTCATTCATAACTTAACATAATATATGTTCCAATAGAATAAATGTAATTTAATTTGAAAATTTTTTTTCATTATCCAATTTTATTATTTATATAAAATAATAATATTTAAGAACAAATTATATTTATTACATAAAAGTTTTAATTATTTTATAACATAACATTAAAAATAATCATTTTTGAAAAAGTAAATTATTATATTAAAAATATCTAAATTTTATATTATTCTGTCATTAATAAATGTAATATTTGTAATGAAAATAATATGTATATGTTGCATAATAATAAAACTATATATAAAAGTATATCAAATATAATTAGATAAAATTAATTTTGTATAAAAAATGTATATATAAATATATACATTTATTAAAATATTATATGTATATATATATATATATATATATATTTATGTATGATATATTAAGTCCGCTAATTCAAAAGAATATAATTACATTTTATATAAAATATATAATTTTGCAAGAATTTGTGAATTTAAGACACAGCACTGTAGTTAAATTTAGATCAATGAGACTAGATACTGCTTTAAATTTAAAGTTAGCTCAGAGTTAGCCCAGTTAGGGCTTTTAGTAGAACCACAAATTTCATTTGAATGTTATCAATTAAGTTTTTTTAAAATATCATAAAGTTAAATTAAAAATGCCTTTACCAAGTGGAAATAAAGAACCTGATGATAGCCAAACATGGGAATTAGCAGAAAGATGTCTTCTTCCAATTGCATTTTCACATGCAATTGCAGTTATTTTAGCAACTATATTAAATACATTAAGTATATCACAAACATCTAGTTTTGTACTTTTTCTTTTATTATTGGTCATATCCATAGGATTTACGTTATTTTACCACAATTTAAAGGTGAGTTATTAAAATACATATATTATTTATTTATAAACTTATATACTATTACTTATTTTCTTTTATTTAATTATATTGATAATTACTTCTAAATTTTAATATGAATACATGTCTTACAATATTAATATTTAAAAATATAATCTTCTAGGTAACTGCTGCAGGAAAAGCAATTCTTATTACAGGTTGTGATTCAAGAGTTGGATATACTTTAAGCAAACAATTAGATGAATTGGTAAAATTATATATTATATATTAGTTTTTTTGTAATTGTTATTACTTATTTCTAGTGTATATATTATAGTTAAAGGAATTTTAAAAGAAAATTTTTTTTAAAGGGATTTACAGTATTTGCTGGTTTTAATACAAAAGTTGAAAATGAAGAAATAATGCAAAAATTAAGACAAGAAGCTTCTGGTAGATTACATATATTACAATTAGATGTAACTAGTGAACATGATATTCATTCAACATTTCTTTATGTAAATGAAAACTTACCAGATGGTGCTCCAGGTTTAAAATTATATTTCTTTATAAATATATAAATATTTATTATTAATATATATTTAATATTAATGAATATTTTATAATAGGTTTATGGGCATTAGTACATGCTGCTGCTTGGGTAACATTAGGTGAATGTGAATGGGTACCTCCTTCTGTATTAAAACGCAGTATAGATATTAATTTTATTGGCCTTGCTAGATTAACTCAGGTAAATTAATATTAATATATTATTAAAAATTATATATTATAGTATATATTTAATTAAATATATCAATAAAATAATTTTTATTTAAAGGTATTTTTACCTCTAATTAGGCGATCAAAAGGTCGTGTTGTATTAGTTAGTAGTCTTTTAGCTCGTATACCAAGTCCTGTTCGAGGCATTTATTGTGCAGTTAAGGTAGATCATTTAAAATTATCAATAATTGTATACACATATATAATATTAATTAAACATATTTACATATTTTCTAAATATTTATACATTGTTTTATTTTAATTTTATATATATATATATATATAGGCTGCAGTCGAAGCTTGGGGAGCTTGTCTCAGATTAGAAATGAGAAGATGGGGAGTAGATGTAGTTATTGTAGAAACTGGTGAATATGTATCAGGAAATGCATGGTTAAAAGATAATAACTCATTATTGGAACAAGCTAGAGAAATGTGGATTCAACTGGACCCTCAAACTCGTAAAGAATATGGACAAGAATTATTTCAAAAAGAAATGTTGGCTCTTGAAAAATATACACAAGAAATAGATGTAGATATAACACCAGTAATTAGAGCTTTAATAGATGGAGTAATAAAAACTTTTCCAATGAGAAGATATACACCAGTGTCACGTAAAGAAAGAATACAAGCATTATGCAGTGATTATCTTCCAAAACCAATTTATGACATATTATATATAAATTAAAAAAATACAAAAATATAAATAATCAAAAATAAAAAATTACATGTCAATCAAAATTTAATAAATACTACCTATTGATCAATTGTTTATGAGATAATATTATGAATAATAAAATTATTTACTATTTAAATTTTATCCTTACTTCATATAATTATTTAATTTGAATAAATCCAATAAGATACATTATATTTATACATATTAATATATATTATTCATTGTTGAAATAAAATAAAAAAAGAATAAAAAATATCATTATAATTTATAAAAATATTATTTTTTTAGAAATTTTATTGCGAATTTTTTCATTGCAAATAACTTTGCGAATATATTTTAGAAAATTTTAGTATTCATTGCAGTGCAACCATGGATTGTAACTGTAAAACAGAACAATATAACATAAATTAAAATGCAATATGTTATATATCAATAGAATAAAAAAATTTGAAAAAATTAAAAAAAAATCAGATTATGCTAATGTACTTCAATATTCGCGAGTAGTGAATTGAATTGGATTAAAATTCTTACATATTATAAAGCAGTCAACTTCACTAATATAAACTAATTTCAAATTTTTAATTTATTTTTTCTATAATATTTTCTAATTATTTTTAAAATTGATAAAATTATAAGATTAATATTATAAAATAAATAATTATAAAATTAAAATTGATATTTATAAAATTGATAACATGCGAATAATATCTACACATACCTTTATTAAATTGGGCACAAAATAGATTAATTTTTTAATTTTTTCAAAAAAAATAATTTTTCGTAAAATAATGTTCTATTTATAAATAAGGTGGTTAATATCATTTTGAGATATTGCTACAAATGTTCCGAGATTTCTATAAGCAACATGTAGAAAATTAATATTATGCAAACAAAAATAATCAACTAAATAATCACTTTCTTTTTTTTTGTAACCAAATTGTAATTAAATAATCACTTTTTAATTAAATAATTAAATTATAAATCTCTATAAAACTGTTATTTTTGTCAACATTTTTGTACTATAATTTTTTATACGCATTGCATTACATTCAAGATAGATTGCGCTAGTAGTTTTAACGATTCCATATTTCATAATGTTGGTAAAAATATTTTCATGAGACAAAAATATTATTCAAAATTTGAGAAAATTAAATGAATTAGATACTGATTATAAAAATAGAAAAAAAAACGAAAATACAAAAACGAATCGTAATTTGTTAATATATTTATTGACAATTCTTCTCAAAAGGAAAAAAAAGTAAAAGATAAAAAAGAAAAATCAATTACTTAATAAGTTAATACTGAAATAATATTTATTTTTCCTTAAAAGCGAATACATTTCTTTAATTATTATTATTTTTAATTATTTTAATTACATTCAAAAATAACAATATCCAATATTATATTATCTTGTGTTTGGTCATACATACGATAAAATTTGGTATATATACATATATATATATATTATTTTATATATATATATATATATATATATATATATACATATATGTGTGTATATCGCGTGTGCTTTCTATACATAGAGTATTACGATTGTGTTAAGAGTTTTGTAGTGGTTGTATAGTGGCAGGGGGAGGTCCTTAGCCCCCTTCGTGAGGCACACGCCGGTAATGAGTGTTTATACCATAACTGCGGCGACACCAACAACGAGTACAATAATATCAACAACAACGGCGACGACAACAACAGCATTAACAGTAACGACGACGGCTACGCCAACAACAACGGCGCCGGCGGTTGCCGTGTCGCCTGAAGCTGCACCTGGTTGGATAGAATTTTGTGAGAGACACGCCCGCGCTTCGGCTTCTGATTTTGCTAAAGCTTTCTGTACCTATGTCAGTTTAAATTTACCTGAAAGTGCTAGATTAAATCTTTCTCATCATGATTTTTTAAAAAAATTTGTTGAAAGTTTTTGTGAACACTTCGAAAACGAATATCTACGTCGTACAGTTAGGTATGTTATAATATTATGAAAAAGATATATTTTGTTATTTGCTTTCATAATTTTTTTAAATTTATCATAATGTATATATTATGCAAAAAGATGAAAATATTGCATTATGTTTTGCAGATCACCATCTTTATATGACACAAGACATAGTGCAACTAATGATAGAGATATTAATGCTATAAGTCAAAATAATAATGCTCCTATTCGTATATCATCTCATGAAGAATTCAGTGATTACTCTGAACATGATGGAGATGCAATATCACCAAAACCATCACACAAACCATTTTTCCGTCGTTTATCTTTTAAAGGACTTAAAAAAGGAAAAAGCCTTTTTCATAAACAACAAAGTGATGAAGTGGAATTATCTCATAGTGAACATCGTAGAGATAAACATTCAAAAGCTAAACTTTCTAAAATTGTAGTAGAATGTAGAAAAGAAGGCATTGTTAATTCCTTAATGGGGGAGAATATTGATGGAACTCAAAAATGGGAAAAGTCTAGACTTGCTTTAATAAAAGCAATTGGTGGATATATGTTAGAATTTTATTCTCCTCCAAAAGCAGTAAAACCACGCAGTGGTGTCTTTTGTTCTGCAATTACTGAAGCCAGAGAAACAACTGCATTAGAAATGCCAGATCATGAAAATACTTTTGTATTAAAAACACAAAATATGGAATTTGTAATAGAAGCTCATGATTCAAATGACATGAGATCATGGTTAGCTACTATTAAATATTGTATGCGTACAGTACAACAAAATTCTATTAATCCTAGTTCTGGAGTAGAGGCTACTGGAGAATCTTTAGGTCATACTTCATTAGCTATTAGTAATGAAGGAGATAGATTAAGAACTAATTCTGCAAGTAAAAGTTCTCGATCTACTTCCCATGAACATGGAGATGAAATAGGTGGCAATCCTCCAGAAATACCTCCTAGACTTCGTATAAGAAGTAATAGTAATTTGGAATTATGTTCATCACAACAAGATATTGAACAATGTAAGATAGATTTATATATAAGAGTTTTAAAATTATATTTATAATTATCTAATATGTATATTAGAAATAATTAAATTTTGTTGTAGTAAATGTAAATGATGGTGAATTAGATTTATCAAGTAGTTTAAGAGAATATCCATGGTTTCATGGAACTCTTCCTAGATCAGATGCAGCACAATTAGTTTTACATAGTGCTGCTAATGGTCATGGTGTATTTCTTGTTCGACAAAGTGAAACAAGAAAAGGAGAATTTGTATTAACTTTTAATTTTCAAGGTAGAGCAAAGGTAACGTTTTTTAAATTAAATTATTTTATATAACTATTAACTATTTTAAACTATTTAAAATAATTTATTTTGTAATCTTTGTTATAGCATTTACGTATGACATTAAATGATCAAGGACATTGTCGTGTTCAGCATCTTTGTTTTCCTGCTATATATGATATGCTTGAACATTTTCGTCAGAATGCCATACCTCTTGAATCTGGTGGAACGGCAGATGTAACTCTCACAGAATTTGTTGTGGCAAATCATGCAATACGATCAGCACATCATAATATGTCTGGAATAAATCAACAACAATTACAAGAAAGAAGACCTCCAGCTGCTCCAGAGGCAAGAGAAGTAAGAGTCAGCAGTGGAAGTCTAACTCCTCTTGAGTGAACGCGAGTGGCCAACACCCACAGTCTGAAGTCTAATCTACAGACAGTGAGTAAATAAATAAAATGATGCACCCATTTTTTTGTGCGACTGGTAATATATACATTCTAAATTGATATTCATATCATTACAATATTTTAATAATTTATATATCCATATTCGGATTATTTTGTATTTAAATGTTACTAAATGTTTTTTTTTTTAATATAAATTATTTTATTGTTTTTTATGTATACAGATATACATAATATAAAGTGTTTTAGAATAGATGATATAAGCAGATAAATATATTTCTACATGCAAAAATAAGTCAAAGAAAAGAATAATATTTTTTTATTTAAAACTTTTTAATTGTTTCTAAAAAATTAAAATTAAAAAACATATTGTTTATTTGACTGTACATTTTCAATTTTAATTTCCTTAAAAAGACTTAAACAACAAAATTTTATTTTACATTTTTCATATTACATGTATTTTCATATTTATAATCTTGCTGATTAATAACTTATATCTAATAATGATTTATTTAAATTCATTTATATTTAAAAATTTGATTTAATTATATTAAAAATTTATATTTTCAAATTTGATTTATTCAATAGAAATTTTGTTATTAAATAACAAAATTTTATTAACTTTTTTTTTTTAATTCATTTTTGTATGTAAAATTTTTTCAATAATTTAATATTTATTGCATCTTTTATTATGATTAATAAAAAAATTGCTTTATTTTTTCTTTTTTTAATTAGTATAAGTTTTATATAGTTAATGTTTTATTATTTTTATTATTTTGAATAGAATTTTTAAAATTAATATTATTTTTAATAGTTATAATATTTTTATTAATTTTTTATCACATATGTGTACAAACTTTTAATCCGAATGTGGAAATTTAACAGAATTTAACTAAATATTATACATGTATATAATTGGTATTTTAATTGAAATTCTCAAAATTAAAACTTATGATAACTCTTAGTAGTAAAGAGTTATAATTAATATATGAGATAATGGTGCTTAATATATATGACCGTGGGACAAGGAGCTCGCTTTTATATGTAAAATATTCTTAAAATTTCTGGTTCATTTTAATTACTGTGAATAATGAAAAATTATTTTATTTTATATATAATTAATATTTAATAATTTTTTGCAAATCCAGAAAATTTAAGATAAAATTTGACGAATTATTGTTTGAATTGAATTAAATGTTAAATGAATATTTATATAATATACAGGTGCGCACATATGGAGGTTCTATAAGAACACGTACAGAATCATTGGAAAGATTGGAACAACAAAACACCAATACAGAACAACAAAGTTCATCATCAACTAGTGGTAGAGCAATTCAAAATACTTATAGTTTTCTTTGACGTTGGATCCATAATACTCTACCATCGGGTTACAATCCAGTTAGTCCTCTAGATTAAGTAGTTTCTCCATTAATTTAGAAAATCAAGATAATTTTTAGTTGAACTTATTGTTATTATAAATTGTCATTCTAAAGTGTACTATTTCACTTATACAAATAATGTATTTTTTAATCAATTATTTCCGATTATTTCAACTTTGCAAGATAAAAATTACTTATATTTATTAACATATTTACATTCAATTTTGAAAACAGGACATAAATTTTAAAATATAATTATTTTATAAATAATTTTTGAAATAATATATATAGATTATTTTACAAATTCAATGAAATTTATAACAAAATTTTATTGATTGTACTTTTTTGCACGTTCAGATATATCAGCTCAAATTATCATTAACACATATTATAAATATTATAAGTATTATAAAATATTTCAAATATGTATATGAAACTAAAAGATCATGGCCTTTATTTTACTAAAAGAAAGAATATTTTAAAATTATAGCATATTCATTATGTCATCTAATTTACTTAAGTGTATGTACTTATGTCAATATATATATATATATATATATATATTATATATAATATATAATATAATATTTAATAATAAATAAAGAAATTATATATATACACATATATATATAAACATATGAATATAAGTTAGTCCTGTTTTATATGTAAAATTAATATGGACAATCTTTTTACTTGTCTCTATGATTTTTTTTATAAATTTCAAAATATACTAAATAATACATGCATATAGTATTATATATTAAGTATATATATTAAGAAGATTTAATTTAAAGAAATCAGAAACTAGTCTAAATGTTATGTATAAATAATTCAATCGTAATTAATTGAATAGTTAAATCATAGTATTCAATTTAAAAATAAGATTAAATAAAAAATATATCAAAACATATATATATATATATATATATATATATATATATATAATACTATGTTATTTTAAGATTATAATATTTTATGATAAAATAAATATTAATGTAAGTATTATTATTAAATTGATAAGCACATAAAAGTTATTTATATAGATATAGAGCAATATATGACTGAATGTGCAAAATTAAATTATAAATAAATATACATTATTATATTAGTAAGTATCTCAGTAATATAGTAATTAGTATGAAGTATAAGAAAAAAATATTTTCGTTATATAAAGGATAAACTGATTACTGTGATAAGATTTTTTTTTATTCAATAGTAATACAATTTTTATGAATTTTTTTCACTTGTATATATAATCATTAAGATAAAATATTTTTTGGTTAAAATATTGTTCAAATATTAGTTTCTAAACTTTTTTTTTTTTTTTTTTTATATTACAAAAAGTAATTTCTGAAAATATTTTTCAAATGTAAATATTTAAGAAAAATCTATTTTAAAATAAAAATTATTATTTTTAAAAAAAACAATGATAAAATAACAAATACATGATGACATTTGAGATAATAAAATTAAATTTATTTGAATGTTCTATATAAGTATACTGAATATTTATAAGTACAAAATAAAATATAAATAAAAATTCAATTATTTTATTATTATATACATTTTTTCGTTATATTTTATTTTAAAAAAAAATTTGTGTTATTATTTTTTCTAAATTTTATAAATTTCTGAAAAATTTTGTTGTGATCGAATTATATTACCTACATATTAACCTCCTCTTTCGCAAAATTGTGAATTCTTCTATTGATTTTACTCATGTATATTTTTTATATATGTATGTATGTTTTTAATAAATTAATAAACGATAAAAAATAATGTATATTTTTAATAATAAAAAATCAACTTTTTATTGTATTTAGTATTAATCATATAGGTTAATAAAAAGTAGCATCAGCCATTGTAATCAATATGCTATTGGATACAAATAAATCTTGAATACTTGTTAAATATCCAATAAATAGATATTACATTATCGTTTAAATAGATAAGAGTTATTTCCGGTTCAATAAAAAAAAATTCTTTGTGTTTGTAATATATAACAAATAATACGTTAATTTAACTCACAATTATCGATATGGCATCTCAGGTAATCTAATTGTCAATTTACTACATAATAAAATATTAATTAAATAATGTGAATTGAAGGTGTACGAATTCAATGTAGAAATGATGTGTGAAGGATGTGCCAATGCTGTAACAAATGTACTTAATAAGAAAGAAGGTATGATTCATTATATATTTATAAATTTAAGAATTTTCATTTAATAAAATTTATATATAAATTTTATTTAAATTTTAAAACATTTTATTTTTTATTTTTTTTTTAATAGAAATATTATAATTTAATATTGATATTTTTTTATTTCTAACTACAAAAAATATCAAATATTAAATATCAAATTGATTTAAAAATATTTTAGAATTTATTGGGTTAATTATTTAATTCAAAATTAATTTTTAGGTGTTAATGATGTACAAATAGATCTACAAGAAAACAAAGTATTTGTCACATCTATACTTCCTTCTGATGAAATATTACAGACTATTAAAAAAAGTGGAAAGACATGCAAATTTTTAGGAATAAAAAAATAAATATAGTATATACTTAATTATATTTTATTATATCATTTATTTTCAAGATTTATTTTCTTCTATAAAATTATTGTATTAAATGTAGTTCTCTTTACATTAAAGTTTCAAATCATGCATAAAAAGAATACTTAAAAATTTATTTTTATAATAACATATGTTAAGTATTAATTAAAAAATTTTTATTTTGAAATTAATTTTAGAAAATATTAAGTACAATTTAAATATATATTTTAGAAATATTTATTATTTACTTATATAATCAAATAATTTTTTAAATAAAATATAAAAATTTATTTTCTTAACTCTTCTTCTAATACTGATAAACGTTGTTCTAAAATAGTAACAGCATCACTTAATGATTGTACTTGTTCATTAAGTGCATCTACTATTCCATTTGAACATGTTACTCTATTTAAATCAGGGGATTCTTTAGATAAATGTGATATGTTTACAATACGACCTTTTTCAAAAGGTCTTTGATTTCTCATATTTATTACTCTATATTCTAAATTTTCATTTAAAATTCCAGTATCTGGTACTTCACAATGAATTCTTCCATTTTTTAAATTTGTAATATCATATTTTTCATCTAATGACTAAAATAATAAAATATTTTAAATTATAATTTAAATATTAGCTATGAATATTAAATCGTGCAAATATATATATATATATATATATATATATATGTATGTAAATAATGTATCTTAAAATTGTTATTACTTCTATTTCTTCTTCTCCTCCAGATATATCATCATCTTTATGTAATTTTTCATCCTTAATTTTTAATTCTACTTCTTTAACAGGTGAAACTAAATGTCTAGAAATTTTTCGAGCAATATCATCCTTATCAAAATTTGTTTTCCACATTAATAATTGATGATCTGTTCCACCAGAAGCAAAAAATTCTCCATTAGAAGAAAATGTTACTGATGTTACACTGGTACCATTTACATGTCCTTTAAGTGTATAAATTGGACGACCCTCTAACAAATCTAAAACCTATTTTATAGTTTTTGATAAATTCTATATAAAGAAATTATTAAAATATAAAAAAAATATTTACTTTCATTGTTGAATCATCAGATGCAGTTAATATGAAATTTCCTTTCGGATGAAATTTTATCATATTTACTGAACCCTTATGAGTTGCATAATGTTGATACAAAGAACCAGTACGTATATCATATAATTTTACACAACCAATTGTATTTGCAGATCCAATAACATAACCACTTGGATGAAATTCCACATGTGTAGAATAAGCTAATAAGAAATTTAATAGTAGAAATTTTTAATTATAATTTAAAAATCCTTAATAAACTATAACATTTTAAAAAAAGAGAGACAATAAAAATTATTCATTTTTAATATAAATATAATTTATATATCATTATACCTTTTACATCATTAAAAGATTTAATACATTGTCCACTGATAACATCCCATAATTTTATTGTTTTATCATCACTACAAGAAATTATAAGTCTACCATCTAAAGAAAATCTAGCACATCTGACCCAGCTTGTGTGACATACAAATGACATAAGGAATCTTCTTTGACATACCATCCATAATTTAACACTTTTATCATCTGATGCAGTAATTAACTATGTATAAAAATATATATATTTATTTGATCAAAAATTAATTTATTTCTCATTTATCATTTAAGATATAAATACCTTTTCTCCATCTGGACTAAATTGTACTGATCTAACAGCACCTGAATGTGCTTTAAAATCTAAAGATTGTCCTGTAACTTTAGGAACCCAAATTATGACAGATCTATCTCTAGAAGCAGTAGCTATCACTTCCCCTGATGGTGCATAAGTTACATCAAAAATTACATCTTTATGTCCAAAAAATCTGTAAGCCCTTACAGATTCTTTCAAATTCCATAATATTATACTTTTATCTGAACTACTTGATGCTAATTGAGTAGTTTCAGGATGAAAACATAAACTTGTAATAATATTTTCATGTCCTTTAAAATGTTTTTCTATTGTAGGGTCACAAGCAGTTTCAATCATCATTCTAATATAAATTGTATAAAAAATTTTCATTTAACATTAAAAAATTATTAATATTCTTAACCTAAATAAACTTATTAATATACGTACAAATTTCATAATGTACATGTAATACACGTATAATTATAATTTTAATATATGTATATTATTTTAAATATAATTGATTTTATTTTAATGAATTTAAAAAAAAGTAAAAAACATTACCTCTTCTTAATCACATCGATTATTATTATATATTTATATTATAATTGTTTTAAAGATATATTTGCGTTTTATTACATACGCAATACAAAATATATACTCAATATATATAATTTTATTAGAAATAATAAAATACTTTATATTATCGATATTATATTAATTCATATATTAAACAAGATTTTAACCACGTTCAATTTAAAACGAATTTTGACTACGATAATCAACTAAAATACTATAGTATTATAGATATAGAAGCGCGAAATTCGAATAGCTATTTTATTATTATTAAATATATTATATATATCTATTTTATCATTATATATTATATCATATCTTAATTAAATAAAATAAATATTCATAACTTTACTAAAAAAAAAGAGTGAGAAAAAAATTTCAAAACAGACATTGTTAATAAAATATGATTAATCAAATACTTTATTCGATTTTTTTATTTGAGAACAAGCTGAAGAATGAAACGTTTCTCATGTCGACAATGAGTACGATACGTAGGCTAGTTAGCAGGGTTGAATTAGATCTTTATTTGGAAGATACATAGGTATTCATAGGATAGTTGAACATAACTGTAGATGGAGGTGATTAAACACAAATGTACAAACGAAATACAATACGATACTTTTCATCACGTGTTTGGCGGTGTGAGCGTGGCTTTTGTCAATGGCATATTGTACAAATATGCCTTCTTTACCTCTAGTCAGTAATTGTACACTCGACTTACATGCTAAAGCTCCGCACTATCGCTTCTTTTTTTTTTTTAAAAATAATCATATATATTTTGCGATAAAAAAAATCAGGTAATGTTGCTTTATAAACTTGACATTGCACTGCAATCTCTTTTACTTGGCCAAATGCATAGGCGACCGTAAAGAATTTTGGAATCACACAGAAAAAACAGTAAAAGGAGCGAAGTAATTAGTAGCAATCATGAAACATGTTTCATGAAAAACATCTTTATGTATCCACATATTACATTATAATCTTTCATTTTTCCAACTACTAAATCTCGACAACTTTAACTTTCTAAATACTTCATAGATTCATAGACCGAAAATGGAATATGAAGTCAAGAAGATATATAGCACTAGAAGAAGGCATTGCTCACTGTATCCTCTTTTTTCTGGTATTTTAAAAAATTCTCTAGAACGATGCGCCGCAAGACAAAGAGATGGTCGTGCAGTTCATCTATTCGTGTAATTACTTTAACGTTATTCGTTAAATACATCCTTGTGTCTTTGCGTGAAATGCTTGTATGAGTTCTCATTTTTTTTTGTATTTTTTTATAATAAAATTATTTTTCTAATCTTTGTTGATCAGCTGTTGTTGCCCTGTGAAAACTGCCTTCTGTCACAACACAATAATACTTGCATGGTGGGTTCACGCCTCTAAATTTGGTTAATCTTTCCTTATATCACATTGTTATATCTGTATAACTCTTTGTCAATATTAATAGATCTTCTTTTGATAATTGTAGATACCAAATTCAAATGCAAAATTTTTATATTCAATGTCTCATTTAAGAAATATCCTAAGCCGCAAAAAAATATACCAAAATATCTTATTCCATTGATTAAATGAAATTTTTTTTAAATTTAAAATTACATATATATTAATATTTTTTATGCTTTATGTTATTTGCTTAATATGTATGAATATAATATCGAATGAATATAATTAATTAATCATTTACAACTATTAAACAACGATCTAGAACAATGAAATTGCTATTTTACATGTTAAAATTCTTGGTATAGTTTTTCCAAGCTTTTGTACGTATTAAAGATACGACTTAGGTTTTTTCATAAATAGACAATTGAATTACGATCTTAAAACATTATTTATGGTTCATATGTGCATAACTCTATCATTTTATTACTGTTGCGTATGAGGTTTACCACGAGGCGCATAACCGCCACGATTTCCACCTCTTTGACCGCGAAACTGTCCTCGACCTCTATCCATACCACGCTCACCTCGTGGACCTCCACCTCTTGATCCACCACCGCCTCTTTTATAACCAGAATTATAACCGCTATTTCCTTCGCTATTTCCCCAAGATCGTTGTTGATAACCATTTTGATAGTTGCTGTCATTACGATAATATGTTCCTAAATATAAAATTATAATTTAATCAAATGTATTAAAATCTTTTGTTTTAATAAATAATATAATACATTATACCTTGCCCTCCACGACCATTTTGTTGATAACCACCGCCCCTACCTCTTCCATTATATCCATTAGAATTGCCTCTTCGTCCACCTCTACCTCTGTATCCACTACGTTGTTGATCACCCCAAGTTTGTTGAGATGTTTGTTGTTGTGTTTGTT